GGATCGCACGCATCCGGAGCGGATGTGGAGGAAAAATTATCAAAATATTCGTCAAACTGGAAACTGAATGTCGGAAACTCCCCTAAAAGTACTTCTTCAGCCTCAAGGAGCTCACTATCATCATTAAGAAACTGTAAGTAATTAAATTCGTCCATTTTTGCCTTTGTAAAAAGAAAGTTTTGGCAACAAAAAACTTGCACAAAGTTTGCCACACAATATTGCCTTTATTTGTTTTTTGTTTTCCTGCAATTTGATTGGTTACTGTGAATGATCCTTGAAATCTGATTGGTTGTTTTGTTTAAGTGCTACTTTCTCATTCTTGAAAAAAAGATGCGATTTAGAGCACAAAATAGTGCGATTCGTGAATAAATCACATCACTCTGAGCCAATCAGATTGCAAGGATCACCTGTGATTTCAAAATGGATGTAATAAAGGCATATAACAACTTCAGAAGGCGTACACTTTCCTCTTAAAACAAACCAATTTCAAAAATCACAGGCAGCCCAACCTTACATTCGAACGCTTTTTAAGCAATGTTACATACTATGTCAGGCTCCTGCTTCTGCGACTACGTAACGAATGGAACAATCAGTAAAATAAAATTTGAAACCTTAGAATATTGCCTAGCTTAGCTTAATGTGAAAAGAAAGAAATGTTTACCTACACTAAAACATACTTTGATCTCCTGAGATATAAATGAGATCTTTTCAAATTTTCGACCCTGTCGTCCTTTAAACAGAGAAATGAATTGCAATTTTGTGCTGCCTGTATTTAAACAGATTCTCAATGCGTTGCTTTCAACTCGTCAATGGAGGGCGCAAAGGAAAAATAAATTCCGCCTTAATTCGGCAGGTGTTAATCGAGGATTGTAAACAACAGCTTTATAATTTCAGTCCCAGCGTTTATTTGATTGTTTGAAATGTACGATCGCATGAGTTTCTAAGTAGGCTGAATGTTAGTAAATACTTAACCAGTAAACTCAACTTTTAAGTAATTCTTTAAAATATAAGTAATTCTAGTTGTTATTGCTACTCAAATAGCCAAGTTAAGTTTTGTTAAAATGAAATGTCTGACGACAGAAATAATTGGTAACAAATTGGTCAGGGATGAAATAATGTTCTGACGGCACGATTGAGAGAAGAGGAGGATATGGGACATACTACAGCTGCAATGTGTTATTTACAGCTTTTTGAATGGCAGAGGATTTTGTGTCATTCTGCGGCGGTGAATGTTTTTGCTCCCATCCGTCTTCATCTAAGTTTGTATGTTGTAATTTCAGTTTTTAATGTAGTTCAATATCATATTTCTGCTATGCCCTTTCCTCGGGATGGCGTTTCACCGCACAAGACATGCATAAGATAAGCAGCCGGGCTACCGGCTCTCGCCTGGCACCTAATCTCGTTCCCAGATCTCACTCCGTAATTTGGAAACGAGATTGGCCTAGATCTTACAGTATTTTTCAACAGTACATAGCAAAGCTGAAAAGTCTGAGTCAGCCGACTGACTGAATCGTCCTCTAGGCAATACCCACACTGGTGGACTCGCTCGCGGAGTTTTCCGTAAATTAAATAAGAAATTAACGAAACCACTCAGGGCAAAGGTCAGACCACTGATAAGTTGACAAAATCAGTTTTAAAGAAATGCAAAAGCTTGCTTACATTCTAAATAATGGCACAAAAAAACTTAATCTTCAAGCAATAAAGAAAGAAAGCTGTCACGTTATAACTGTGCAATTAGATTAATTGATATGATATATTTGGCAGTAGATCACAAGCCCTTGGGTATTAAACAAACGGCGTGTAGAGCTAAGTCAACAGACTAAGCTCTCGTGAAGACAACCTCGTTACCAGGGTTCTCTCCTACCCGCCCCACGGAGCTAGAAAGGGGAGTTAGGAGAAAGAACCTGGGAACAAGATTGTCTTGAAGAAAGAGGTTTTGGTCACCACCCCTCTTTTTTAGCATACGGGTAGATTTTTTACTGCGACACTGCAGCTGGTCGCCGTAGAGGCAGACAAAAATTCATCATGGTACAATAACATGCAGAATTAAGCCGTCCATCAGGTTTTCGGGGCACATAATTTTTAGCCTAAGAAAAAAACTGAAATTTCGTGGGGAAACCAGAGGTGTTCCCCAAAATGTTGGCTATTTTCTTAGGCTAACACTTATGTGCCCTGAAATCTTGACGCGTGGCTTAATTCTGGCAATATTAGCTATTAGTAAAATCCAACTGGTGGTCTATAATCAATGCTGCATCCTGATTGGTTGAGCTACTACTAGGTTATATGTTATAGCCCCCTAGTAGCGAAAAGAGCAGGCTTTGACTAGCTAAAATTTTTTTATTCTCGATATTTTTGACCAACTAGTTAGATTTTACTAAAGTCAATAGCCCATTCGGCCTTCGGCCTCATGGCTATTGACTCAGAGCCCATTCGGGCTCGAGGAATAATTTTTAAATATAAGTCTTGAATAACGACATATCCTCATTTTGCTGGAGGGCCGAAGGTTGGTTGCATGGGTCTGTTGAAATAGTCCATCAGCCACTTTTCTACATCCTTTTCGTTTGTTTTTCTCCACTGAATATTAATTTTGACTCTCTCTATGGCCTGTTGAACACTCCATGATAAAGGTCCACCTTTAACTACACTAGCGATAAAATCCTGGAGCTGAAAGAAAAAAAAAATTGAATTTATTGCTATCATGCGTCAACTACGGCTGAACTAGTACGCTTGAAGGGCGCAGTAGTTACTTGATGTACATTTCTCCACAGTTACGCGAAAATATATACTTAAAGAATTTGCTAGCGATTAGCTTAAACGTATTCTCCCCCCCCCCCCAAACAAAAATAAAGTAAAATAAATAATAAAATAAAATAAAACTATAATGATACCGTTTTCAGGGAATCAAGAAGTTGCTGAAAGTTTTTGTACGGTTTTCATTGTTTATTTCTTGTGCTACTTCAGTGTTTTCACATTGCGATGACTTAAATGTCTTTTAAGAGCGTTTTCCTTCCATTGCTTTTTATAACTCATAAAAAATTGCAAGCACTGAAATATAACTATCCTGCCTAATAAGATATCCCTTTTTTGGCTACCTTGTGTACTAATTAAACTTACTGTAACAAAACAATTAAAAAAAGCTGAAAGATAAGTTATTAACTTAGCGCGATTGTTCTCATTTAGCTCGTGTCCGTCTCGTAACCAATGCAAAAAGTCGGTTTAATGAGACTGTTGTTTATTGACATGATCGTAGTAAGGGTTTTTAACGGTTGTGTTGGTGATTTTATTTAAGAAATCGCTGTATGAAAAGCAGGTGATAAACTTCTCGTACCTTTTGTAGCTGGTACTCTGTTGAGAATCGCTTGGAAAAAAGTGGAACAAAGCCACTCAGTGTTTTATATGGACCTCCAAACCTAGGATATACGGATACAAATGAATTCTTGAAGAAGTTCATTAGACTAGTGAAGTTAAACAGTCGATTTAAATTTTCTTAAAACATAGCCAGTCTTAACGTCTTATTGAGGCTGAAAGTTTCGATGACTGTCAGCCATCTTTATCAAAACTTGAAAAACATTATGAACAGGGACGAGGGAGCCTATTAGCTTTCTCCCATATGGACACAAATGATCTCCACCCCCAAACCAGGGGGGGAGGGGGGCGTCTACAGAGTGACTTTACGCGTTTATCGCAATAATTAACACCTTCAGAAGCCTATTTAAGGCTTCTTACACTTTTAATGTTTTTCAAGTTTTGATAAAGATGGCTGACAGTCATCGAAACTGTCAGCATCAATAAGACGTTAAGACTGGCTATGTTTTAAGAAAATTTAAATCGACTGGATACAAAAGAAGCTAAAAAAATCCAGTATATAACCCAGACACTCTGATATAAATACTATATATGTTTAAGTTAAGACATATTCATTATTTGAAGAGTCTTTATAGTTAACAGGTGCCAGCAACACTAATAAAGCCACTTCGTAACATTTCGGAGGCTAGGATATACTCAAGGGTCTGATTTTCGCAGGTATTTTAATTAATAAAGCTGTTTAAGGTGACTTGATTGGAATTTTTAGTAACTCCCTTCGCGTCTCAAGTAACAAAACTATCGCAAGACAGTCACCACAGTCTTCGAGAAAAACTGTTATGACTAGACTACTACATAACTGATATCTGACATCGAAGTTTTCATAGGAACGTACTTCTGACATTTCATTTTCACGAGGGATTCGTCTTATTCTTTGTTCGATGTGTTTGCAAAGTTTGAACAAATTTCAAGAGGGTGTTATCGAAATATTTTAGTATGAAAGTTTAGGGGATAAAACCACAGTTAAAAAAAATTATAATAATAACAATAGATCACTCTACGGTTTTTTCAACAATTACTAGGACCACTTGCTTGCGAAAGTGCGTCAACAAGGCTGAAAAGAACGTCATAATAATTAAAGGTGCCAAATTTGAACTTGATTTCTTGAAAATAAACGAAGATATAGCTCGGCAAGAATGCTGAATTTTACGGACGTTTGTTGGCGGGGAGCAGTTTCAAGCTGCCACTATAAAAACGTCTGTAAATTTCGCGACAATAACTTCACTCACTTTTAATAACGTATCGCCCTTAAATTTGGTAAGTTTCCTAATTTTAAGGCGCTCTTTGCAGCAGTTTCAATGAATGTTCGTTAACTGGTCTTTATCAAAAACTTGAAAAAGACCCAAAATAAAAACGGTGTGAGTGTCTATAAATACATAATATTCTGACATGTACATCATGTACAGTTGCAATATTTGGCTGGCATCTGTACTCACATTTTTGTTATTTTTTCCCAGTTTAGTTGAATAAAATTCCATGCGATATTAGTGCCCATGGCATTGCTTTCAGAAATGGAGTAAATCACATAATAGGTGTGGCTGCGTCCGATTTTCGTAGGGTCCAGTGCGTAATTAAGATACCTGTGACAGAGTAGACAAAAAAGGTCTAATTAGGATGAAGGACAAAGGTTTTGAGACGCTTCCATTAAATGACCACAAACGAATATTGTATTCTAAGCCCTCAAGGCTTTCTTAAATAATGAATGGAATTGTTAATAAAAGTGCGCGTTTTAGAAAAGTGTGTCAGTTACTTTTGTCACTGATAATAGCTTATGATTAATGAAAATGTGTAGAAACAAGAAAAAAGTAATAAACACATGAGTGAAAAAGTCTTTAAAAGAGCTATCTAACAACAACTGTAAAAAAGAAAAATTTTATTTGGGGTGTGAGGGAAAAAAAAGACAATAACATAATAATAAAAAATCATTGTATAAAATAGAAGAGGAAAACACATGATTTAAAATCAGTGACACGACGTAACTACGAACAACCCAACGGCACCATCTTCGCGAATCCTAATTAAAAATACTTTTCTGGTCCCAGATTATTAGTCACTAGATCTCTCGAAAAAAGAATGCAAAATCTAAAAAAAAAGGATTTTTAACCCTGGTAATCCCGTGCAAATTTATCAGTGTAGTGGTAAAATAAATTTTTGCATTCACCTACTTTGCTTGATGCTAGAAGAATATCCATATTGGATGTTTCGGCCACAAATAACTGTATAGCCCACCTAGATCTGTACAATAAGTCAGTAAAGAATCGGGGTTGCAGGATGGATCTTGTGTATCCACGCTAATGACGTCATAGATGGAAAGCTAGAACCTGGATTCTCGTTTTGTCGAATCGTGAAAGGACGATCAGGTGAAAGGACCTTTGTCCAGCCACATAAAACGTAACCGGGCGATCTAACAGCGTGAGTCCGACCCTGAACCCTGTCAAAAGCTTGGCGTTAGCCGTAAGGTATGAGGGTGGCGCCACTGGCCCCCTCTGGTGAACCAAATTTGTTTTGGCTCCTTTTTTTTCTACATGCCAAAGGCATATTGATGGGCACTTGAACTCGAAGGAATAGCCCACGTTTGATGAGGTGATTTAATAAAAGAAGTAAAGAACCTTTCAATGAGCCATGGTTGCTGCGCGCCAGCCATTGCATGGAGCAGAAGCCGTTTGTCCGACACAACATTCGTGCTAGTGAACTGACTGTATGCAAAGTCCCATTCTTTCTCGCCTCCAGTTAATACACCATAATGATAAACTGGAGCCTTAAGGTCTGCTGGAACCCTGAAAGGAATACCGGTCAAAGTAACCATTTTATTTCGATAGAATTGTTCGTGTTAAAAAAGAAGACTGCCAAATCTATGCGCAACAGTCTGAGTGATTAAGAAGATTTTAGTAATGTTTTTACGTTTAAACTTACTTTGTTTGACTTTCCTGTTGGGGGGTCACAAAAGTAAGAACATCGGAGACACACTCGCGTGTGTTTGGGTTGCCATTCCGATCCTTTGTTCTTACTACATTTAAATTTTGACATCATCTATGATATGTAATGAATAGACACGCGGTATGATTGAATGATTAAAACGAGACAAAACTCACGGTTTTTTCACAGGATCTGCCATCCAATCGCCAAACATCTGCGTCATATTTCCCAGGCATGCTGCCAAGCCTGCTGCACAATTGGAATTAATTAAAAGGATCCTCTTAAGCCTATTAAAAGAAAAGCAAAGAGAAGAAAACATACAAGAATTTAAATCAGGACCTGGGGGAAGAGGTATGTTGTAGTGCATGGTTAGTGGTGAGAGCATTAGCTTCCCACCGACAATTCTGGTGACCACTGGAGCTCGGGTTCGAGACATACGGGGTTCAAGTACCGGCAACGACGTCATTTGAGGCCTTGATGCTGGTTTTCTTCGCTGAATTTTTCTCAAGGTACCCAGGTTATCCCTCTCTCTTCAAGGAAGCCAACACTTTTGAAAGTCCAATTCGAACTGAAAAGTGTCCACTACTGGGAGGGCCACAAGTTAATTAGCCTGAGAAAACAGCCGTCATTTCGCGACTCCACCATTCATTTGGTTTTCCTTTGCGTGGAAACCAGTGGTGGCATCACAAAATGTCGGCTGTTTTCTCGGGCTAAGGTGGATAACACCCTCCAAGATCTGCCTAATTCTTTATATCCTACGAAAGCCTAATTCATTAATTGCTTTATTATTCATTCAAAATAATTCCTAGTTTAAAAACAAGTTAAAACATGCTTACCTTCGTCGATGTCAAGTTCATCTCGATAGTGGATTTTTAGAAAATACAGGCTGTTCGGATCTGCAAATATACTCCAAATAGCAGATGTTGTCTATCGAGTTTTCTTTTTGCTATGTTTTTAGACAATACTTCGTCCTGAAACGAGTAAAATGTTCCGCAGTATGCTCACAACCAAGACAACTCAACCTCGTCCCCAGGTCTCCTCGGTTGACGGTGCGTTAACCTGCAACTGTGCTTTCACTTTTGACGTCATCGGTTGATTAATCGCAAAGTTCTTCCAAATTTGGTCAAGAGAAGCTGGTTATGGTGAATTATTAATGCATGCGCTTTTAGCCAACAAGAAACGGAGAAATATTTTGAATGAATAATAAAGTAACTTAATTAAAAAAAGAACTATTTTAAAAGAGGGATGCCTCCGCTCCTTTTTTTCTATCTAAGTCACCACTTTTAAGTTAATTTGACTTTCTGATATGGTTGTCTCTATAAACAGTCTCAATTGAAGAGAAGCATCGCTCTTGCCTATATAGTGAAATGGCTTGAATTCAAATTTTTTTTCACCTTTATGGCGATCTCATCCTATTCAACGGGCCTAAAAGAAGTTTCTCCACATTATTCACATTTTTTTCCATATCCATTCAACAACGAAATCAACAAAAGTAGTATAAATCGTTAAAAAGGCTGGTAACCAATCAGACACCACCATACCGTTTTACAAAACTGAGTGTACAACAGAGCGGGCTTATGTTTGGCTACTATCCTTATAGGAAGCGACCTATACTGGTTATGTAGTAAAATAAATTTTCCACGAACCTTTCTGAATGCGTTCCCTGATCTTTAATTCCAAGTGAGTCGTATTGGGATTTGGTTAACTCTCTAACGAATCTCTGAGAATTTAATCAACAGTAATGATTCAGATAAAACGCTAAGTGGTTAGCAGTGAAATTTAACGTTGAAGAACATCGGCTTCTTAAACCTTACGAAGTGGTAGCCCGTTATTTTGGATTTTTGTGACATAAGCTACTTAAAGCTCTGATACTGGTGCCCTTGAAGTGTTTCAGCTTTCTGAAGCGAGAAGGACTGATACTAATTTCGAAGTGAAGCGCTTATTTGAATGTGGAACTCATTATTATATAAGTAATCACATTTTGTCTTTATTCTGAACTGAGTAGTATTATTTAAAGTTAAAGTTGCATGGTTAAACTACGAGAATAGCACGTGATGTTATCGTAATAAGATGATAAGCCCGCGAAAAAGGCCCCTGTCGTTTCTTCCTGCCTTGAAAACTGGAGTAGCCGGTGCACTTTATACTACTAATGGCTCTTTGGTGAAAACCATTACCTGAAGATATTTGTAAGCTGGTACAGTGGGCGGTAGAATTTTCATTATTGCTGAAAACTTCCTCATAGCTGCTAACAGGGGAACATAATCTTCTTCTTTGCTTAGATACGTGGATAAGGTAAGCGGTTCAGTGTGATTTAGAAGGTTGGCCCTAAAAAAAGAAAAGAATAAAAATGAATAAGTAGACATATATTTTCCTTCTAAATGTAAAATTAGGATTCAAAAGATTTAGAAAAGTCATATTAAGTGCAAATGATATTAATAGGACTTTTGTTTTCACCTAAAATAGTATGAATTTGAAGAAATAAACATTCTTTTACCTTGCTAGGTTAAAAGAATCATCAATGAGCCCGGCCCGATCTGTTGCGTTGAATATCTGCAAATAAAGTAATAGGTGTTTTTAATCTATTTTAATATTGATATAATAATAATATAGGACTTCTTGATCAGAGTTCACTAAAAGATAATCGCGTTCGGAAGAAGAATTGTTTGAAGAACAGTTACTGTATCAGCCATAGGGTAAACCGCGGGTGACTACCAGGTTTGGTTAGTCCTTAATTTATATCTTCGTTTTTTTTAAACCTGTAACAATTATGAAGGGAAGTCTTTCCAAAAATGTTTTGAACAACTGCTAAAAAGAAGTGCATAATGTTATCACTAAATGACGAAACAAAGTAACGAATAGATTATCAGTTTAGGGTAACTATTTAAAGTTAATCGCTCATTGTGGGATCAACCATTTATATTTAGTAAAATCCAACCAATGGTTTATCATCAATGCTGTGTTCTGATTGGTTGAGCTACTTTTAGGCTATATGTTATAACCCGCTAGTAGCGAAAAGGGTCGGCTTTGAAAACCAAAACAATGGCGGCTGAATCGCGTTTTGCTAGCTAAAGTTGTTTCGTCTCGATATTTTTGACCAACTAGTTGGATTTTCAGTACTAAAGCAATTATTCCTCTCGCCCTCATGGCCTCTGAGTCAATGGACCATGAGGCCGAAGCTTTTGACTCAGAATCTATTCGGCCTTGAGGAATAATTTTTAATTAGATGCCAGCTCGTTCGGTCTGGTTTTACCCCAAAAATGTTATGATTATAGTTACCTTATGATGATAGTTGAGTTGCAATCCTATTTCAGTCCATGTGCCTTTGTCATAGTTGACCCGATAGAACCCCGTCTGCCCTATGTTTGCTTTAATCCATCCGCTTCCATCCCAAGAAATTTCAACTAAAAAAACAGTATTTTTTGTCAACTTTTGTCATATTTACTTATTATTAACCTGGCGGCGACAAATTTGTCAGATGATAAGTAAAACGTTTTTCCATCTGTAAGAAGCACTGTTTAATAAAAAAAAGGCTATCTTACTTTGATTGCCTTCGATTATCTTAAACATAGTCTTGCTTGGAGGGTTGGTGGTTCTGCTAGCTCCTGTGAAGTACGAAAACGGTATTGTCCACTTGTACCTATGATATAAAAGGAAAGGAGTTATGAGATCATGAGTATTAAAAACTTAAACAAGTAGCCGGATCGGCCATCATATCTTTCCCAATTACTGGTCCTAAACCATTTTAGTCAGAGTCTTTTCCTGCATTACGACAAAGCAAAAACCACGTAAAAACCTCATGACAGATGGAAATCATTCAGCCGCTTGGTATTCTAAATACGTAATGTACACAGAAAGATTCGAGCTGATTCGCCCCATGTGAGGGAATCCGGATGAATCGTGGAATCTGCAGGAATCAGGAAAAATGATACTTGTGGAATGCGGAATACTGGGCTTTGAAATCCGGAATACAGCTATGGGAATAGCAGAATCCTACCAAAGACTGAAATCCAGACCCTAAGTTCCACTGACATAGACTCAGTGAAATCCGGTACCTGGAATCTGGAATACACGCCGTGGATTCCAGAATCAAAACTGTCTTGGATTCCCTATCCTGGAACGAGAAAAATTCTGTTCAACTTTTTCATTCTAGTTTGCTTTCAACCTAACTTTGTATACCAATAACGCAGTTCCACCACCGCCAGAATATCATGATAACGCACAAAACACTGTTGCTTGATTCCCTCAGGAGTAATGTAATGCAAGAGCGTAGGTTTAAATTCTTTATGTGGTTGTATATTTAAAAAAAAATTAACCAAAGAAATGAAACAGTACTTCTTTTACTTCAGTTTGAAGTTATTACACGGTTCACAAACGAGTTTGTATCCAAACGTGGCGTGGCCAGCTAGACAAAGTTTTCATGTTTGTGGACAAAACGATGTCATCTGCCCATACCAGGGGATCGGATACCAACTTAATATAAATACATATAAATACCGTAAAATTCGGAAAATAGGCCCCGCGGCTTAAATTTTTCGAAGGCCCTTTTTGAGGGGCTTATTTTTGGAGGGGCTTATATTCGGAGGGGCTTATCTACGGAGTGAAATTTGCGTTTCAAAATCGATTAGGCTAGCCTTCTGAGTTGGAATTAAATTTACCGTTTTTCTTTGTTTTACTTTGTATTTAAGGGCAATTTTTCCAGTACACCCCCCCCCCCGGAGGGGGGGGCTTATGTTTGGAGGGGCGATTTAACGGAGGTTTTTTTGCGTTACCAGTTTGGAGGGGCTTATACATGGAGGGGCTTATATTCGGAATTTTACGGTATCTATTTTTGCCTACCCATATGGGGAACTGGAATAGTTCGCCTTTGAATCTCTATAATACAAGAAGCGGTCTTGTGTCGCCAAGTAGGTGTTCGGTTTATTAGACTTAGTAATGGTGACCACTGGATATCCCATCTGTTTTGTGAAAGTGTCCATCACATTTTTGACAGTCGAGTTTCCTGCAGCCTGACGGTAAAATGAACAATTTATTCATACTTCTCCGTAACATTTCTCCAAGTTATAAACATAACTTACTTTGTGAAAAGTTTGAACAGGGAGTCATTTCTAAAGTAGGTTGAGTTTGATCGTCCGGGTGAACGTAGTCCTGAATAGGACTGTTGTTGATGACAGTGACTGACGTTTCGACAACCTGTGCGGTAGTCATCTTCAGAGTCAAAGTGAGTTGTATCACGTCCGTTCATAGTATTATACTCTGGTTATTGATCTGATTGGTCAATTACGTCGCGATGTTATTAATGTTATAACATTTATGTTTATATGGCCCACGCACAGCATCAAAAAAACCACAAGGAGCTAAAGAGAATGTTTTGGCCTCCACTAAAGGCCACCGCTTCACAACGTCGATTTCTCTTCAACGGTCGTTGTATACAAAGTGGCCGTTGTAGAGAAGTTCAACGTTATAAAAGGTGGTTGTCGAAAATAACAAAAAAAAAGCGGAAAGTTGATTAAACTTTTAAAAAAAACTAAAAATGTACTATATATTTAAAAAAGAAAAATTCAAACGTTTTCGAGACCAGGTCATCATTAGGGTACGATTGATTAAATATATTTAATCATTAATTTGATTATTTATATTACTCATTCATTCCGTTGCTTTTATGAAGTCAAGTTAAGGTTATATTAACTAAAGAATACAAAGCATAAGACTAGTAATCACCTTAACCATTGCGTCCCACAAATCATCAGTGTCTGCATTACCGTAGATGTGTTTATTGAGATACCGCTAGATAAAACAAATGAACAGAAACAAATACAAAATCAAAGCTAAGTTAGTAAGGTTTCAAGGGTTGTCCATCATGTTCAAAGTACTTTAGTAAATAGTTTGAATGTAAAAAAAGAAAAGAACTAAACGAGACTAAGATATACCTAAAAGTTTGCATTTATGGGGATAAAGGTGACGAGATTAATTGTTCACCATGGAAAGATTCAGAGAATTTAACACTAATGTTTCTTTACAACTAATCTGGGACTTAGTCTTCAGTCAAGAGAGGACAATGACGCGTATCTGTGCAGTTTCTATTCAGTTAATTTGTGCATGCATTATTCCGTTGCTTCGAAACAATCGACAGATCCTCTCATACGAAGAATAGAAGCCAATGTCCCGCGTACAACAAAGGGAGCTAGGGGACATACATGTATGCACGCGTGCTGTAGATCTCCAAAGAGCTGTCAGGAGGAGAATAACGTGTTTAATTCCTTTACTTTTTCAACCAAAACAAACACACCTTGAGTCCGTCACGGAATACTGCATTTCCTAAAAAGTTATGCAGCATCAACAGGATAGAACCACCCTATAAACAGATATAAACAAAAAAAGACAAAACAAAATTAAATTAAACAAAACCAAGAAACAGTGAGTCAGCGACATTCAAAAGCAAAGCATGAACTGACGACCTTGCCACTGAGGCTCTTGTGCAGGGCATTTTTCACGAGATTTTTGCCATGCTATGCCGTGGGGAAAAATGCGAAACATCGTTGATAAGCAAGTTAGGACGATCCGTCAAGAAATTTTCACCTTAAATTTATCCTGCTATGACTTTTCGTATGCTGTAGAGAAATATTCATTTAATTTATTAACATTTCTATTACACCTAAAACGGAAGGGACAACGAGAATTCGAGGAAAGGAAAATAAGAGTTGGCGAAATAATTTACTGATTTTCAAGAGTACATTCCTCACACCTTTTTGTATGATATAGCGTCAAATGCATCTCCGATTTTCAGAGGGTCATTTACTGGTATCCTGATTTTGTGAGAACTTGCCAGTCCATCAAGATCCAGAGAATCCTGCACAGCACGAGCTATGAACTGGTCAACCTAGGACGAAGACATAAAGCTCTCAATAGTTGAAATAACTTAGTGATAACTCTATTTGGAAACACTGAATGACCGCCAGTTGCCATTCCATAGGTGAAGAGAAAATTAAAGGAAAAGCAATTGAGCTGCAAAAATTGAGGAAGCGCAAACAACTGAGCTGCTTTCAGGATCACGCAGCCTTGCATTACCCAAACTCACGAGTGAAAAAAAAAAATCGAAATATGCGGTGTTCTAATTCTCTCTTTTTTATTCACTTTATTGGAGATGAAAGAACAAGCTGCGGCTAATTCAACAGAAGAGAAAACAATTTTGGAGCTTCAGAAAAGGAACTGACCCGGCCAACAATCCAACATGGCCACTTTTATTTCCTTATTGGACAGTCCATACTCACTTACGTTTTTTGTTCTCTCTTGTATTTAACAATACATTGATTACATCTGTTCTAATTTAAACGGGTTATAGAATACTCTTCAATGTTTCCAGGGGTGCAGTATATCCACAAAGGCTTCAATCCTTTCTCCATCGTTTTAACTGCCTAGCTTTATAATTATCGTCGCAAACGCAAATTTTGGCATTTAGGGATAATGTTTGATTCAGGGATTTTTTTCGGAGGGGGGTTTCTGTTGGGAGTGGTAGGGATTTTTTCAGATTTTTGATCCCATTCGACGGCATACCCATCTCTTTAAATCCGAAGTATCCACCGGTTTCAACAATAAGTAACTAAAAGTCCCTAATTACACCCCGGCCCGCCCACCACTCCCCTTGATTCCTTGATTCTACAACATCCACGTAAGTTTTTCCCAAACTTAAAGGGATGAAAAGTGACTGCCTACGGTTCGGTTTTCAGATATGAATATTCGAATGCACGTTTTATAAATTATATAGCTCGAGTGTGCTATGTAATCTTATGTTTAAGAGCTCAGTCACATTCCACTTACCATTTTCCAATCGGGATGAATATGATCCACACCAATAGTACCAGCGTAGGTAGCAAATCCTTCGTTCAGCCAAAGATCACTCCACCATTCCATGGTAACAAGGTCACCAAACCACTGGAAACAGCAAGTAACAAAAAAAATTGCAAAAATGTTTTAGAAGGAGCTGCCATTAATAATGTACAAGGAAGGAAGGGCAATTTGATATGATTCAGCGGACCAGTTCGAGGTCCAATTCCTCGAGATAGACTTACCTTTTTCAACGTTCTATCATATTCCATACCGAATATTTTCCTTAGACAAGTTAATTTAGCTTAGTTAGAATTTTCAAATATTCCTTAAGGACCATAGGAAAAGACCTTGATTACAGGAATGGATCCCCAACAGAAAATCAGCAGAAGTGCGAAAAAAAAAAGGTTAAAGGCTTGTTTATTGTGGAAAGTGCACATAAAAGGATTAAAAACCCCAACTGGAAGGAGGCAATCAGTTGGCTATTCACAAGCGTGGCCGAGGATTTCAATTCGGGACGACCGAGAACAAATCCAGGAAAGTGGCTAAAGCGGCTCGAGCCCGGAACCACCTGATTGCGAGTCCGAGGCGCTGACCACTCGGCCACGCCCCTCCTAAAAAAAGAAAAGATATGAGTAAATAAAAAAAAGGAAAAATGGTTACCAGAGAACTTTCCAAATCCTAAATTGGCGTCTTTAGCCACTTTCCAAGGGGACGTGTTTGTATGGTAATTTACAGCTCGCGCTTCATTGACTTATCGCACTTTATGTTCAACTTTTTCGTCGACTGTCACCTAAATGGGTGTTCGTACATGTCCACAACTTATTTAACAAAACTAATAACACTGGCTTTACCAGATGTGCTACTTCGTGTGCAACCAATCTTGCGATTCCCTCTCGTGAAGATGATGAGGTCTCTCCTTCTTTGACCAACACTCCTGTCTCTCGGTATTTGATAAGGCCCCAGTTCTCCATACCTGCTGGTCCAAACACGGGTAGGCCGATTCCGTCTGAGGAAACAATGAATGCATTAAACGTTACCGTTGAGATCAGACTGACTCTTGATCATTATTCTTGATCTTAAGGCGCTCTTCATTTGTCAGAACTGACAGGCGGGACCATTTCCGTCGTAGTCAGAATTTCACTTTTTATCAAAACTGTTCAGCCAGATCAGTCAAATCCTAAAATAGTGATGCACGACCAGCAAAACCCATGGAAAAGCCTACTGCATTTTCAAAGTGACCGGTTTGGCCTTGCCAGCTCTGACTTTTGGAAAGCGCCCTTTAAGTTTAAAAGAACTGCACCTGATTTTGGTAACGGATAAGCAACACCGAAAAAATCTTTAAAGAACGCCATGCATTGCTTTGATACATTTAATGAGTAGTCCACTTGATCCAGAACTTCCGCTCGAGCGTACATCCTGATCTACAAAGAAAACGAATGTGAAGAATTTGAGTATGTATACTAAATACTCTTAAGTCATTCTCATACCCTGAAGCTTCATAGATTAAAGGAAAATCCGTCATAGTCTCAGCAGCTTGTTAAAATTATAACAAGTCTTTTTTTCTTATCACAGTTGTCGTTTTAATCCATGTTAATCTCTTCCATCCTTAGCCATTGTAAATGAATTGTTATCATCTCTTTTGCATTTTTCTCTTTCAAACTAATATTTCCTTCAATAGACATATATCGCTTATATGTTTTGTTTCCCCAATGTAGGTTTTGTAATAATACGTCTCAAGATAACTGTATCATCTCATCAAATTCCATATTCCCCTTGTGCATATGTTCGCAGCATTTGTTTTATAAATTTTAGTTTATACATTTTATTGATTTCATTTTACCATATAAATTTCCCTGAAGCCTTCATTGAGAAAACAAAACATACAAGCTAAAGAAGTCTATTTCTTAAATACTTGGAAACTAATGGCCAGACATATTGCAACACATTTTGAAAAAAATAAATAAATAAATATAAATCTCTAACTCACATCAACTCCCTTGTCTGTCTTTGTCCCTTTGTACTTAAAGTCACCAACGGCAAAGGCTGCTAGATAAGTAGACATCTTTTTTGTTTTCTCAAAATGGTCATATTTCCAGCCTTCCTTTACCTCGCTTTTGTAGATAGGCATGTTTGACAACGCGATTAGACTCGGGTCATGAACAAGGCTCACGTTAAAGGTCGCTTTCATCGCCGGCTCGTCAAAACATGGGAACACTTTCCGAGCCCTTAAAGGTTGGAATTGAGTAGCAGAGAAATGCCTAACGAGAAAGATTAACATTACTTGCCAAATAATCGAACTATAAATAACACGGTGGTACATTTTTACTACTATAAGTACTTAAACAACACTCTACCGTTGTCTATATGTTCGACAGTTCTTAACAATATTATACAGGGTGTCCCAAAAGTTCGTTCCTGTACTTTATAAGTCTGTATTTCAGTACGATAGGACTTGGTAAGGAAAACATTTCAACAAAAGTTGTGTCTTTCAATATAATTCACTATTTTCATACTTGTTGTGCCATCTTTTGACTCGAATATTCGATTTGTGTACTTCCGCGTCAAAGTTGCGCGTGCGCTAGTATAGTAGTATGTTTTGTATTTCATAGTCCGAATTGCTCGAACTCCTTCCTTATTTTTTGTGAATATCACTGAAGATAAACCCCCTTAACGGAAAAACGTTCAGCTGCATACTTCGATTTACTGGCTTATCTGTTGTAGAAATTGCTAAAAAAAACTGGAAAAATCCGAATGTTGGGTGGTTGAATGATCATGGAGAAATGAAGGTTTTGAAGGCAAGAAACTAAGGGGAAGACCAAAAGCCCTGAATAAAGCAGCTAGAATAGTTTTAAAGAAGGCTAGATACAAAATAGGAGACTCGACAAGGAAACTCAGTCTCACATAGTTAGCAAGCCAAATAAAAGGGTCGTGAAAAAATGTTTGAAATTTTTAAAATTAGAGGCCCCTGTGATGGCAAAAAACCCTCTGCTTAGTCTGCCAATTAACGCCTAGCTTGTTTCAAATTTGTAAAGAAGTACAAAAGCCTTGCTGTGGAAGGGGGCCGGGATGATTATCTTTTTTGGATGAATGCCCAAAATATACATATATATATTTTTTTCAGCTGCCTAAAGTAAACAAATTTTGTTTGGGGGCTGAACTGGATCCTGCGCACCAGGTGATAAAAATGCTCAAAACGGATCATTTGTGGGTCTACACGCTGTATCTCAATTCATGCCGCAACGGCTACAGAATGTGATAAAAAAACAAAAAGGGCATGCCAGTTACTGAAATTCTGAATACATGTACTTGATAGAGAAATAAACATCTTCTAGCAATTTCGTGTGAAAATATAGTTTTGATCAAAATTTATAGCGCATGAAATTAGAGGAACGAACTTTTGGGACACCCTGTAGTTATTATAACTAAATGTTTACAAATGTTACGATTTGTAAAGTGCAGTTAACATACACATGAAATGCGCAATAAAATTATTGTTAAAAATAAAATAGTTAGTAAACCGTATATAGAATGGGCTTTATAAAATAGACATAAATACAAATGGATAACAAATTGCATACTCTTAATCAGCCAATAACGTTGTTATGGAAAAATGAAAACAAAAACAAAAACAACAAAACAAATAGAGAAAAAGCTAAATAGGAATAACAGAGGCGTACACTTATTATGATTGGACGAGAGGGTGAAGCATAAAACGTACTTATGGTGGCAACTATTAACTTTCTCTTAACTCAACTGCTTTCATTCTAACACAATATACTGTACTACAAAATGTTTTCAGAATAATCTAAATATCCATAGGTAATTTTAATGGGCTATTACTAAATTAGGCCCTCTTAGCTTTTTTGATTTTTGTTTTGCTTTTTGTATGACAACGTTATTGTAATGAAGTGTATAGAAATTCAAATAGCTACAACGTCAAAAAAATGCGACAAACTATTAAAAAAAAGTTAAAGAATACAATTAACAAAATGATTTATCACTGACAGCAAATTAAATAGTTTTTCAAGTCTAAACAATAAAATGATACTAAAAAAAGAGATTATCATTTTAAATTTAAATGCCTACAGTTGTAATTGTTAAAGAAGGGGGATAAAGTCCTCTTATAGCCAGTGTCAAACCTACAAGATCTGATGAGTGGCAGTGGAAAAGAGACTGTATATATTATCACCGCAAGACCTGAATATTCGGAAAGGGCATGCCAAACTTACAAAACCTGACGTTCGGTGTTGAAAGTACCAATGATTAAAAAATGACGGCAATCCATATATTTATTCGTAAAAACTTGCATAGTAAGTAGTGTATAATGTTGAGCTTAGACCTTGTTCAGGTCTAGCTACAATTGTAGGTCCAGCTAGATCTATAGTCAATGAGGTCCTCAATTAATAGTTAATAAAACCTATTCTTTTAGTAATATTCATCATAATTGTCTAGTCAAGTGCCTAGTCTTTTTTTACTTTTCATATGTACAGTAATTTAATAACTTAAATTCATAACTAGATACAATGGATACGATATAATCTCAAGTAAAACGGTATATGAAGGGCATTATAAAACCTCGTCTGTAAAATGATATAAGAAGGGTATTTTAAAATCTCTGTGAATGTTATTAGCACGGAATTATAAAACCTCTTTAAAATAGTCTAGGCAGGGCATTGCAAACTCCCTGTAAAATAGTATCAGAAGGGCATTTTAAAATCTCTGTTATATGGTTAGCCTTTTGCAGGCGTTTAGATGGCAGGTGGAGAGCGAGAGAGTTAAATCTGTAAAATGGTACAAGCAGGGTATTGTAAAACGTCTGTGACCTAACTAGGCTCAGAGAGCGCTGTTAATGTTAAATTGAAGTAGTATTTAGAATAGCAATAGTGCTTTTCATGATTAGTAAAATATCAAAATTTAATTTCAATGGCTAAATATTAAGTCCCCTTTTGTGCTTTTTTTGTACGACAACGTTATTGCTATTACCAAAAATAAATTTATTATGAATATATATTAAATAAATTTTCCATGGCGTTAATGTTTAACCATGATGAGAAGATAGTTTACTGTGATGAATTTTAAAAAAAGAATAATAAAAAATAAATCTTTACAGAACACTTACGAATCAGTGCCGTTCTTGTATTTGAAGGACGCCTTATACATTCCTCTCAGGTCAGCTGCATACTCTCCTGAAAACTCCGATGTTATAACATACATGCCTTTATCAATAGATGATTCCAACACTATAACAAGAAACTGGTTCTTTTCGAACTTGAAGTGTCGCTTGATTGGGATTGAATCTGAAATATTAGGTAACTAAATGTTAATTAGGTAACTAAATGTTAATTGAGCAACAAAGCAGGATGGATTTAAAATTTTCCAAACAAACAAAGCAACATAAACCAGTAAAAACAAGAAAGCAACCAAAGCAAAAACAAAGAATAGTCCTATCAAAAAGATAAGAGACTCTGTAACCCTACGAGTGTTAAAATGCCTTGCACAGGAATTCTAGTTATAGTCGTATAAACATAACAACTTTCTTTAATTTTCCAGACATGTTTCGACGGTACATCCGTCATCTTCAGTGTACCGTCGAAACATGTACCGAAACATGTACCTAAACATGTACCGTCGAAACATGTCTGGAAAATTAAAGAAAGTTGTTATGTTTATACGACTATCTATATTGTTGCTGCTATCTAGACCTTTTGGATCAATTCTAGTTATACATTTAGGCTTTCCGTCCTATTTCAACCCCGAATATCCCACAAATAAAAAGGCTACAACAGCGAATTGTCCAGTCCACGTTTTCCATGACACCGTTGAAATTAACTGAGATCCACTCGAATATTCTTAGCTAAGGGCAAGTAGACAAGTTCTTATTTTTCCAGGATTATGGTACTCAGGAATATCATCGCGTGTATTCTAATCTATGAATAACCCGGATATCTTAAAATATTGTCATACAAAATAGCTGTTAATCACTACCTACCTCCAGATTCCTTCTGGACTTTAACCGTGGTGAAATTCAAGTTTCTGCTATGTAGGAGTATATAAGGCGTGGATTTCGATACATTGGTTAGAATATCCACCTTGCCATTGAAGTTAGGCTTACTCAGATCAATGTATAGTATGAGGTTATAATGCTTGGGTCTGATATACACCGGAAGACGGATTTGCCACCATGGTTCAGTTCCGGGAGTGGTAGGACCGGTAGACTGTGTAGGACTCACTTCTTCTTTTTTGTCAGCTAAGTATGTGTTAACAAGATACATAATTCAGAATGAAAAGGACAAAAAAAAAAATGAAATTGAGTGCTTTCCATTCTGTCATAACTTCTAAAATTCATTGTCAAAACTTGAATGAAACGCTCTGCTCCAGCAGGTTAGGGGAAAAAAGCTCCACTTCTGGGGTAATCAAACTGGGCTGGTTATGGGGTCGAAGTCTAACTAAATTGGCTGCGGTTCAAAAAACTCATGGGACCGCAGGGCCTGTTGTCTACCCATGCAGGTTATTTAGAAATAAAGAGACAACTAACTGTTTCTCTATTCGACACTATACGCTTACATGAAACTGTTCACTATAAAGAGAGTTTCGGCAAAAGCGTTTTGTGGGCAAACTGAAAATGGGTAAAGCACTGCCGGTAAACCTCATGAAGATCAACGGCCGTATTTGTTTAAAAAGTTTCAGCTGGCTTTAAGTACAGATTGGTTGGGATGGAAATGAACATGAACATAAAATGAAGTTATTAGTAAATTGTATGCTCAATAGAAACTATATAAGAATTGAAATTTCCCAACACAACATCCCTGACTGGAACGCGAATTGACAACTCAGTGACACTAGAAAATATTGCCTGCTTGTTGAGGCAGGTTTCTAGGGCCATTATGTCCCGTCCTTCTAACGAGGTCTAATCTAAAAACCAGGCGCCATACCAGTAGGTAGCTGCCTACTTTCCTTCCTAATAGAGAGCTTTTTCCGCATTTTTTTCAGCAAAGCTGCGATCTGAAAAGGTGAAATAGGTAACCGGGCCCAAAAATTACTAGGACATTCGAGAAAGGTGCCAAAGGTCAGTAAAAGGTATTAATCGTTTTTGGGAATTAAAAAATAGTTTTTAAAAACATCGCTCGAACATAACTTTATCCCAGTTAAAATTTTTCCATAACTATTTTACCGATCATTTTCAAATATTTGAACAACACTGTACTTGAACAACAACGGAAGATAGAATTTAAAAGCAATAAGCATGAGATTTTTAAGAATAAAACTCAGGAACCATAACATCTATACGCGACTGATCCTTAACGCTTTGACAGCCTGTTGACTTAGAAAGGGCTCGTTATCTGACATGTAGCGACTGGGCCTTGGCCGGTACAAACTATACTTAAACTTACAGCATGATAAGGGCCGGCAGAAAACAATTAAACACATGTTGGGAAATAATGCTCACAAGTTATATTTTGTTAGAATTTGTGATTGATGCAGCCTCGCGCGGCGAACGGTTTCAGGTTCTGGTTGTTTCCGATCGGTTAATTGTAAGCTCAGTCGACGTGAAAGAGTGATGAAGTGTTTCGTGCTTTAGTCTTGATTTCGAATGATCCTAATGCAAATTAACAACCTGCTTGTTTACTCCTTTGCGTGAAAATCAAATAATATAACGACAATTTTGAATTTAAAAATGCCAATTTTAATTTCCTGACATTCCCTTTTCACCCCATCTATCTGCACACTAAATAATAGTTATGAGGCTTCGACGATCGACTTCCAAATCTCTCTTTTTCTTTTCTTTTTTCGAATCAGAACAACCCATGGGTGTTCGTTACGGATAAAAAGTGTGTGACCATTCAGCCATTCTACGATCAAATTTTAATGACAAAATATCATGAGTAAAGTAAAAACTTTTGAGGTAAACAGTGACTGGCGCTATAAGACAAGCTAATTGCACTGAGCATTGAAGGATAATTTAAGTACTCGTCCATTTTTTGTTTCTCCTCTAACTTGAAAACTGATATTGGGTTGAAATACCTCCCATCGCCGAGTGCCGGAATACTTGAATACTTGTGAATACTTATATATACTTACGCGTTTTATCCGGCGTGTCTCTTCTGTTCTTTGCTTGTTCGTGGCCCAGAACTGCAGCTAAGACAATTATTATAATCAACAGGACCAAGATTACAACAGCAAGAATTATTAGCTTGGTTTTGTCCAAAAATAAACCAGTAAACGCTCCTTTCCCTGACTTCACTTTCGGTTCGCCACCTACTTCCAGTTGGTGAAGAGGGGCTTTGGATTCTGTCATCTTAATTAAACGACCGACTGAGAAAGGTGTCCGGTGAGATTAACAAGTTAGGCAACAGGAATAAAAGCAGCTGACACCCTTGTCTGAACCTTGCTGCAATCGTACTACGACTGGCGAAGCAGCTGCCCTTCAATACCAATGTCACGCTTTTTGCTGTAAGGAATTATGAAATATGCATGCAGCAAGCCTTAGAAGCCCAATTATTCAAATGAAGCTGTGACTGCGAAAACAACATTTAAAGATTTAGTCACAAAGTCAAGTACTGGCAACAAGGAGCTGTGCCCGAACAAATTTACGAACTTTAGGACGGAGGTCAACTGATGCAACTAATAGCAAATAACCCTACAGAAATACATATAAAAGTCATAACTCGAAAATAACTATAAATAAAGAATAAGTGTCGTGCATAAATTGTGAGGACAAAGCGATTTGTTTTGTTCTTTTGTAATCCTAATGCACCTATCAATGTAAACCCCGTGGGGGGGAGGGGGGGGAGTGCGGGCAAGGGGTGGGGATTTGACAAATTTTAAAATTTTTCGATCAAATTCCCCAGGGTGGGAAACGAAAAGTCAATCAAAAGTGTCAAAAAGCCCCCACCACAGGGGAAAAAATCTAAACAAACAATGCTATAATACTATATAAAACGAATAAAAGAACATTTCAAACACATTGTTACTACTTTTATTTACGGTTAACGGAAGCTCCATTAAATTACTCGCTGTAATTAAGTATTTTCTCTCTCCACTAGCATATCTTATCTTGAACAACAAAATCACTCCAGGAAGATTGACCGTGCTATATAATATTAATAAAACGTAAAATGCTTTACAACATCTGCTCAACATGTCGGAACAGGTCGGATCAGTGACCCATAAAAAATCCTCTGACTTTCATGGTGGAATTCGATTTCAATCGAGTTTTACAATCAGGTGGGAACTTGAAGATAAAAACTTCCTCAAAATAGACATTATCTGTTTAGATGACAGTTTAAAGTATCGGATTATGGCGATTAAAACAAATGAAAACTTCATACCTTTCTCCAACAACGTGACTTTCAGGAAGCCTCGAGGGACGGACTTGGTAACTGCTTCTGAATTGATACCAGGCTTCTGTCGGTCAAAGTCAAATGTCCCGACCCCGGGGTTGCTTCACACGATCAAAAGCCCGACAGCGGGGATAGTCCCAGGGATCAAATCCCCTCCCCTTGCCCGCACTCCCCCCCCCCCACGGGATTTACATTGATAGGTGCATAATTGTCTGTTGTGTGTGTGTTTCTTCTTCTTTTGTTTTTTTTTCAATTTTACCTCTATCGATCCGATGTTACAAATGTAATCCATGCTCGGTTTTTAAATTGATGAACCATAAACTTAGCTCAAATAGCCTTTAGTTTATATTTCACCGCAAGGAAGACTTAATAGCGCGCTAGGCGGGTCAATACAAGGATGCGTAGAAATTTTGGCCTTAGGCAGTCACTGCTTTTAACTTATCGAGAGTCTCAAATGGGTTAACCCTTGTTGAAAACTGATTATTTGTTTGGCGTATAATTCCCAAAAAAGTTAACAATTGGTACTAAAATCTTATCGACTTTTTTCGGGCAAAAAGAATGATTTGATTTGTCATTAGCGAACGTAATTAAAGATCACACAGTTGTCTCTTGAGTTCTTGACCCAAAGCTAAAGGATCCTAACGGGTAAGTGTGCCTTTTTTTGCTTTGCTTGTTTTTGTTTTTTGCTTTTAGACCTGTGTAGGTGCTTCAACAGATTAATAATTCAATTCAAAATTAATTTTTGACATTGAAAAAATATAATGTTCAATTTTTGACAATTCTCTTTACTGTATCAAGAAGAAGTAAGCATTTTCTAATTGACCATATGAAAGGCAGAACGTTAACCGTTATACAGTAAAACTAAATTAAGGACGGATAAAAAGGCACGTCTTCACATCTCAAGTTGACATAGCGGAAAACCTATACTTTGACTTAAGTATATAGTATCGTGTCTGAGACGGATCCTTTCTTGCAGGTAGTACAAACTATCGTTTGTACCGTCTGCTAATATGGGCTAGGTCCCAGTTGTTCGAAAGGTGGATAGCGCTATCCACCGGATAAAATTCTATCCAGTGGATAACGCAATTGGTTTTCGTAATACTTTTCCTCTGGATAGCGACTCAGTTTTATTACAACCGGGGCCAGAGGAGAATCACATTGTTAATAGGATACAAGTAATAAAGCAAACCCTCTTGTGGAGCTCAAGTAGAGGAAAAAAAAGTATGATAATAACGGCAAACAAACAGACAAACAAACAAAAAAAAAACAGCAACAACAAACAACATGGGGTCATACATGAACTACTGACCCAAACACGTTATCGATTGTTATGCTAATCGATAATAATCGATTGTAATCATTAAAATACAAAGGAGTATTTGCACCTGGCGTTGCCGTTTCGTAAACAACACAAGACCGGCTTTAGTCTTTAAACATAAGCCACTAGACCAGTGAGTAGTAATCATAGCATTCCCGGTGTGTTTGTAGGCTATTAATAGATTTTTGTGCATTTCCATTCAATCCATTTCTTCGACTGCATATTGTATATATTTTCCTTGCCATTTCGCTCACCCGGATCTTAATCAATTGTGGCACTGATTGAGAGGTCCCCTTGAACGTTACCGTATTGGGGCATAAGCTAATTAAAGGTCTTGGTTCGACGAAAGCTGTTTTTATTTTCATTGTGCATATAATAAGCGTACATTAATTAATGTTATTAGTCAATCTTATATTGATATCAGTTGTTGTCAATTATCGGTTTATCGTCTGAGCCACGCCTGAATTATCGGTTTATTGGCTGACGCCAACTGACGCCTTCGAAGAGTATCCGTGCGAATTTCACAAGATAATTATAGTATCCGGCGCTTATACAAGCAAGCTACGAAAATGGCTAGCTTAAGTATTCCTCATTCAAACTTTCTTTTTCTCGGCCAGGGTCTCAAACTCTGCCAATTTCAGTACTGAAGCAGACACTACCAACTCCGCAGTATGGCCCGCTACGTTACTCCTGAGCACAACCAGAAAAGGGCTGCAAGGGGAGCAAGGGTGGCGCAGCAGTGAGAGCACTCGCCTTCCACCAGAGTGGCCCGGGTTCAACTCCCGGCGTCGACGCCATATGTGGGTTAAGTTTGTTTTTGGTTCCTTCCCTTGCTCCGAGAGGTTTTTCTCCTGGTACTTCGGTTTTCCCCTCTCCTCAAAAACCAACATTTCCAAATTCCAATTCGACCAGGAATCAGGTAGACGGAGAACCACTTTGTGGATGTGCTACCTGCAAATCGTTATCGTTATCATTTATTATTATTATTATTAAATTGGTATTCTCTTAAACACTGCGTTTAGCTTACCGACAAGTACTCCACCTCCATGTGACTCCAACGACCTATACCTCATAGAAGAATAAAGACCTTGTTACTTCTCTTAATCAAGCTGTCGACCTTGTTTTCGTAATAGCATTTCCAGTGGGCTCAACACACTGGGCGCGACCCATTCAACTAAAATTTCCGGAAATTTTGGTCCAAAACTCAATGGATTGATTCGGTCCAACCGGAAAAGTTTCGAAAAAACTAGTCCGCCACTGTAACCTCCCAGTTTAAGAAATACAAGGCTTATCTTCTGATACTTCTCTAAGTAAATACGAAATCGACTCACACCCTCTCCCTCTGGAAATTTATTTTCCTTATTGGCCACATAATGGCACAGCATATTAAACCTTTGAACTATTTTGGGGGCATTAGTATTAATTAAAAGGATCTTAACGCCGGCCTTGACTGAGAAAGCTGTAAATAAGCTTTTCAGATATTTATTCGTGGTTTACTATATCTTGCTGGTATGGCTAAGTAAACACGAAATCCTCTCCCTCTGGAAATTCATTGCCTATATTGGACCCATAATGACACAGCACATTAAACCATTGAACTATTTTGGGGGCATTAGCACTAAAGGCTCTAAAAGCGGGATTTGACTGAGAAAGCTGTAAATAAGTCTTTCAGATATTCATTCGTGGCTTACAGCTATAACTTGCTGGTGTAGGACACAAACGTACCAAAACCATGCAGTCTGAATTGAGTTCATCGGCCTTAATTTTGTATGAGAGACTGCACGTTTTCGGCTGCAGTAATCTCTAACTTTATTCTAGGGGAATCCCTGACTTTCTCTTTAGATACGCATATTTGTTTTTCCTATTTCCCCTTCGCAATACGCCGGTTCGTTTTCAAGACATATTGGCATGATTGTATGTGGATAGAAGTTGTGTTTGGACTTACAGTGTTATTCGCGTGATCATTGAGTGACATATACGATAACAAGAAAAGGTAACATCAATCCCATAAAGAAGTTGCTAATCATACAATTATGTTTTTGGTTATTTTTTAACAATTTGTAGTAGTTGACGTTTCACTACGGCTTTTGTCATGTTCTAAGCGAAGGTTATCGCGCTTAAATTGCCCAGTATCCTGTACATTTCCATCTTAAATACTAGCCATTCAATTTGTTGTATTCAATACATGAAAATGAGATCGATCAAGTGATACGCCGCAGTTTGCGAGCAGTTTGAAGAGACGGATGAACGATCATGATAGCAAATCAAAACCACTTTATATGCATGACAACTCCCCAATCATACCCTCGTCAGTCTCGACTCAGTACTGATCTTGTTCTCGTAATTTGTTACATTTTACAGTAAGATTTTTTATTTAAAGTATTCGAGATCTAAAGACAGTGAAATCGTCAAAGCTGAAAGAAAATTGGTTTGAATTATCGAGAGGTTCGAAAAATTAATGTTAAAATTAAAATGTTTTACGAGGGAAGGTGGAAATTCGAAGGATCGGGTCACAAAACCGGAGACCTAGAATGGAGAATAATAGATGAAAGTAGCCTATAATGTAATGTAACTGTCGATGGTACCCTTGTACTTGAAGGCCTTCACATAGACCTTATCACGGATTTGGAAGCCATCTTGAGTCTTGACAGGAAGGCAAGTTCCGCGTTAGAAATTGCACTGTTTGGGTATGAGAACCATATGTCGAATAATTTTTGTAGCGCTTTTCTGAAAATGATATGAATTGTGAACTAAATAAAGCTACACACCGAAGAATTCTACTAGCATTCTACCACTTTTCAAAGTTTTCCATGCATTTGTCTGTAAACATTTTTGTTCCTGCAAACTAAA